GGACAGATATGGGGTGGGCAGGTGGCAGCAGGGTGGGCAGGTGGCAGCAGGGTGGGCAGGGGACAGCGGGGTGGGCAGGGCCAGTGGGGTGGACAGATATAGGACGGGCAGATTTGGGGTGGGCAGGGGGCAGCAGGGTGGGCACACAGGAGAAGAGGACCTGGGTGGAGGTGTCTAGCACACTGGAAATACTAAAAAGGCCCAGCTTTCCTCTCCTGGGTGACGGTGCCCCCAGGGTGGCCTGGTTCACACCTGAGCCAGCTGGCCAAGCGTTCCACCTGGAATGCCTCGGAAGAAAGGCCTGGCAGTCCCCTTCCGGAAGTCCAGCTGCTGTAAACTGTGTGGAGCCGGGTCTTCTCTGCACACGTGGGGTCAGGTGTGGGATCCATGAGGAGCCAGCTGGTTTGGCTTTCTAGAGAAATGAAGTAAAGGTGGCAGTGTGCATTTCAGACTGGGCTGCTAACCAAAAGGTCAGTAGTTAAAATCCCCCAACCACCCTGTGGGAGAGCGAGGCAGTCTGCTTTTGTAAAGGTTCACAGCATTGGAAACCCGATGAAAGGTCTGAATCCGACGAGTTTAACACAGGGGTGTCTTCTGAGTGACCGAGAAGCGGCCACCTGCCAGGCCTTAAAGCACCAGTTCTCAGCAGAGGGCTCAGCCCCCAGAGGCCCTGGGCACCCCCAGCATGCGCGCTGTCTGAGCTGTAGCCATAACTGTTCTTTGAGGCTGTGTCGGAGCAGCGGTGCCGTTTTACCTGGGACAGGAGCCGTGACCCCAGTGCGACTCAGTGCTGGTGTCCTCCACCCTGGGACCTTGGCAGTGGAAGGAGAAGGCGATTTCCTGAGGGGTCTCTCCGGAGGCAGACGCGCTGCCCGTCCTACACAGGCTTCCTCCTCTCACTGTGCTCTGAAGACGCTGCGTTCTTGAAAATGAAAGTTGGTAGGAGCTGTTCTTAGAGCAAGGGAGTTCTGGTGGTCTTGTGGGTAAGGGATTGTGCGGCCTGCTCCAACGTAGACAGTTTGAATCCACCAGCTGCTCTGAGGGTGGAGATATGGGCAGTCTCCTCCCTGCCACTGACCCGGAGACCTGCAGTGAGTGGTCAGCCACGCGCTGGCTCCGGCTCAGTGACACACAGCAGTCTGTGCGCCGTGTCCCCGTGGCCTGTGCTCGTGCCTGTCTGGGGCCCGTTTCTGTCTTGGTGATATTTTTAACTTTCTCATCGTTCTCGGTAGAGGGTCGCCAAGAAGGAGGAAGGCCCTCGAGGAAACGTGTCCCTGCAGTGACCACAAGACGAGGCGTTAGCATGGCGGGGACTGTGAGGGAGGCACTAGCCCTGGCGGGGTTGCTGTAGGTGGGACCGGTCAGCACCTGAAAACTGCAGTGTAGGGTCCACAGTAACATAAGCGTAACGCAATAGCACCAGGAAACCACAAGTCGGGGGCTAACTTCTCAATATCGATTTTATCTCCAGTCAGTAATTGACCCGAGATGTCCAAGGTCAGCCCTTTGAGGCTTGGCTTTTTTGTGGGTTTTTCCCCCCAAATGCACAGAGCAAGCCTTTCACCTCGGGGGAAGCTTCCGTTGCTTGTGGACAATTTCAGCTTCCAAGAGAAAATGAGACTAGACAGGACTTGGGAGCCTGTGCGGATGGTGGCTTTCGATGGGCAGTTTGCTTGCTGGGGGGGGGGGCAGTTTTCAGACCTTCTTCCTGACACTGCTGGAGGCATTGTCAGTGGCCGGGGTCCCCGTTGGTCAGCATCTTCCGATGTGACAGCACGTGGTGCCACCAGGTCTGCTCCAAGCAGACGCTCAGCCTTGACTTAGACAGCAGAGGACCACCGTGCACAGGTGGGGTCCCGGGGCTGTATCTTGTGGGGTTCTTAGATGTTTGCTAGTGAAGTGTTTGTCATTCTGACTGAGAACAATGATTTTCACTTTGAGCCCATTTTAAAATACAGTGTGATGCTATTAAGGAACCCCGGCGGCATAACACATAACACACAGGGCTGATAACCAGAAGGTCAACAGCTCGAATCCGCCAGCTCCTTGGGCCGAAGGACGGGTCAGCTCCTCCCAGAAGCCCAGTGGCGGGGTCTCTGTGAGCCGGGACCAGTTCTGCAGCGGTGGGATGGGGCTGACAGTATCCACGAAGCTGACGGAGAACGTGGGGGCCCGTACAACTCCTCCAGCCCCGCAGGAAGGCAGACGCCGCCGTTCAGTGTTTACGCTGGCCGGTTGGGCTCATCCTCTCACCTCAGGCCTTGGAAACAGTCACGTGGACAGCAAATACTGGCCCTTTTTCCGAGGAGAAAATGTTTGTCAGTTTTACTGCCTAATCTGGGATGCCTCATCTTCCCGAGAACTGGAACACCCAGGAAATTCGTTCTAAGCTCTGTGTAACTCGGGGGTGGTTGTATCCTGTCAGATCAGTTCCAGCCGGCAGTGACCCCTGTGATCGAGATGAACTGCCCCATAGGACTGCCTTGTTGTGTGCCCGTGACTCACGGTGACCCCAGGCGGACAGGAAACAATGCAAGCTGTTCCCATGCGTCCTCGGCCGCCTCCTGCGCGTGCCCATGGCTGCAGTCACTGTGCCAGGCGTCTCACTGGCAGCCTTCCTCTTTGCCACTGAGCCTACACCTTTCCCAGGTGATGTCCTTTTTCAGAGACTGGCCCCTCCTGGCAATAGGCCCAGAGTCTGTGAGACCAAGTCTCGCCTCCCAAGCCTCCAATGAGCCCTGAGCCCTCAGGCTGCACCTCCTCCAGGGTGGACTTGTTTGCTCTTTGGTGACATGTTTTTGAGGCTGTGATATTTATGAGTGCAGATAGCAGGGTCTTCCCTCCAAACACACACTGGGTGAGACTGAACCAGTAACCTTTTGGTTGGCAGCCAAGTGCCTCACCATTGGACCCCGGGACTCTTCACGTCGCTGGCAAGGACTGCATGAGTTAGTTTTGAAGATCATAAGCTGAGGGAGAGATTCACTTGTGCTGTGTTGAGTAAATGTTGGGCTCTGCAGTCGTGGGGAGAGTGCAGCCAGGGTGCGCCTTGCAGGCAAGGATGGCCACGCTTCACCTCACATACTTCAGGCAGGCCGCCAGGAGAGGTGGCCGCCAGGAGAGGTGGCCGTCAGGAGAGGTGGCTGTTAGGAGAAGTGGCCGTTAGGAGAGGTGGCCGTTAGGAGAGGTGACCACCAGGAGAGGTGGAGAGGTGGTAGCCATTAGGAGAGGTGGCTGTTAGGAGAGGTGACCACCAGGAGAGGTGGCCGCCAGGAGAGGTAGCCATTAGGAGAGGTGGCCATTAGGAGAGGTGGCCATCAGGAGAGGTGGCCGTTAGGAGAGGTGACCGCCAGGAGAGGTGGCCGTTAGGAGAGGTGACCGCCAGGACAGGTGGCCGCCAGGAGAGGTGGCCGTTAGGAGACGTGGCCGCCAGGAGAGGTGGCCGCCAGGAGAGGTGGCCGTTAGGAGACGTGGCCGCCAGGAGAGGTGACCGCCAGGAGAGGTGACCACCAGGAGAGGTGGCCGCCAGGAGAGGTGGCCATCAGGAGAGGTGGCCGTTAGGAGACGTGGCCGCCAGGAGAGGTGGCCATCAGGAGAGGGACATCACGCTTGGAAAGCTGGAGGGCCAGTGAGTGAGGAAGGCCTCTAACAGGGTGCTTGACCCAGTGACTAGAGCAGCGGGGTCAGTGTGACGGATGAGGAGGACGTACAGGCTGGGCCAGGTTCCGACCCGGCATCCCTGGGGTCACTGTGGGCCTTGCTCCACTTGACGTCACCCAGCAGAGAAGCAGCCTCGCACCCACCTTGGGGAAAGGCTTGGACGGTCAGTAATGTGGGATGCTGACAACTCCGTAAGGAGACCAACCGTGTCCCCCACCCGTGCCCTCCCCCAGGAGCGTCACATGACGATTCACACGCGCACCCACACGGGCGAGAAGCCCTTTACCTGCCTCTCCTGTAACCAGCGCTTCCGGCAGAAGCAGCTTCTCAACATCCACTTCAAGAAACACCACGATGCCAGCTTCGTCCCGGCGGTCCACAAGTGCCCCGCGTGCGGCAAGGGCTTCTCACGCTGGGTAAGCTTCCTCACGCAGCACCAGGGGGAGCGGGCCCGGCCAGGGCGCCTCCTGTGCTGGTGGTGGGAGGACTGTGTACACCCGAGATGCTGACCAGGTTCAGCAGATCCTCTCAGCTGAGGTGGGCGCGGAGGAGAGGCCTGGTGACCGCTGTGAGAATCAGCTGTAGACGCTCAGTGGTCACAGCGTGGGGGGACATCCATGAGCCGGGGTCACCCCAGCAGCTCGGACAAAGGGCTTGCAGAGGTCAGAGAGCCCACTCTAGAAAGAGCCCTCCTTCTCCCGGTCCGTGTCACCCTAGGAGACCAGGCTTTAGTCACTTGTCAGGACTTTAGTCACAGCTGCTGGGTGTCTTAGGAGGACGGTGACTATTTGTGGTTGTTTGGTGCCATCTTGTCAAGTACGGCTCACAGCGACCCTGTCCCGGGCCGTCCTCGTCCATCGCAGCGGTCACCGTGACAGTCCACCTGGTTGAGGGTCTTCCTCTCTCTCTGACCCTCTGCCTTTCCAAGAATGATATCCCTCAAGGAATAGCCTTTCTTGAGTTCTTGGAAAAGGTGGTCTCCCCTTCCCTGATACGGAATGGTTCCACACACGAAATCCTGGGGCGCTTCTGGGCGTTCTCCGTCCTGAAAGCCCGTGAGGGGCCCCTTCTTCTAGCAAGACTTAACCGTCATTCCGAGGTGTCAGGTTTACGGAAAAGGGCAGAGTTTCCAGCACGGATCTGCGTCTTCCTAGGACAGTGCTTCTGGTATTGTGCTAAGAAACAGATTTTTAGTACTGTTTTCCCCCCTAAATGTTGTATTATCTGTTACTGAATAACAGATTACCTTATTAGTGGCTTTAAGCAACCCACAGTTACTTCCCTGTGGTTTTTGTGAGGCAGGAACCCCGGAGCGGCGTAGGCTTAGCTCGTGGGTGTGGCTCGGGGTCTCATGACTTTGCAGATGGGGTGTCAGGGGGGCTACACGTACAGCATCAGTTCTCTAAAGGCTGCGTTGACGGGCAGAGGGCCCTCTCCTGATAGGGCTGCCCTCACGTGGCGGTTGGAGTGAGGCCTCAGTTCTTTGCTGTGGAGACCTTTCTGTGGTCAGTGCCTTCCCGCTGGTGACATCTGCCCCCAGAGCAGACAGACTGAGGAAGAGGAGGAGGCCAGAATGTGCTTCGGGACACCGTCCTGAAAGCAGCTGATAGATCTGTTCCCCACCTCCAGTCCTCTCTCAAGGGGAGGGAATGGAGTCCCTCCCGGAGGGAAGATAGCCAGGCATGCCCTGGGCAGCGATGGGTTGTTTGACTCTCTAGTTCAAACTGGCCTACACTAGTCCACGCCAGCTCACTAGTAATGCCTAGGGCACCAATATTCCTTATCTGAGTTCCATTTCATTCTGACAAATTCTGGGAGACCCTGTGTTTCCAGGTTCCCATTGGTAATGAGTGTTTGCAGCCTTTTCTCCTCATTTTGCATCACGGCACATCAGCAAATGAAGATCCCTTAGCAAAGGAAAGCTCTGGAAACTCCACTCCATCTGCATCCTCGGCTGATTCTGCTTGGAGGAGGCAGCTTTCCTCCAGTCATGCGTGGAGAGCCCCCCGTCCTGAGGGCTCGTCTCCGGCCCTCCACAGACAGAGGTCTGCTGCTGTTACAGTTTTCACTGAGAAAAACGGGACTTCCAGGATACTTGGTTATACTCAGTCAGAACCTGTTCAGAGACACAGCCCAGCCTTCAGACACTATAAAGAGATTCTGCGTGGTTTAAAAGCTGGAAAGGTGTGCTTCAAGGCTCTCCCACCGTATTTACTCAGTCTGCACACTAAGCAAATAATCTGAGAAGCTGGACCGTATCAAGAACGCAGCATCAGGACTGGAGGAAGACTCACCAACAACCCACGATGTGCAGATGGCACAGACTTGCCTGCCGAAAACAAAGGTCTGCAACAGTTCGTGATGAAGCTCGAAGTCGGTACAACATAAAACTAACGTCTTCACAGCTGTGCAATAACTAATCGTGATAAGCAGAGAGGAGATTGCCACTAGCAAGGGTGTTCTTTTATTTGGATCCACAACCCCTGACTATGGACACAGCAGACAGGAATTCGCGGACTGCATTGGGAAGTCCACTGTTAAGGATCTTCTTAGTGCACCGCAGAGCAAGGAGGTCACCTTGAGGACGGGGGTGTATACGATACTTCTGATCATCTCAGGTGCATAAGAAAATTAGACGGTAAAACGGTACAACCGTATGGATGGTAGTCTGTTGCTTCTCAGAACACTTGAAATAGAAATACCATCTGACTCAGCAATTCCACTCCTGGGAATACACCCTAAAGAAATCAAAGCCACAACTCAAACAGATGTATGCACACCCAAGTTTATTGCTGAATTATTCACAACAGCATGGACACTGACGCAACCCAAGTGGCCATCAATAAATGAATGGATAGAAAAGCCATGGCACATCCACACGATGGAATACAACGCAGCATTGAAAAGCAATGTTTTGGCTTCTTGATGTTTATAGGGCAGTTTTCAGCATCTCTTCTGGCATCCACGTTGGTCTTCCTCCTTTGTCTTTTTAAGAACATTTTTTTTCATTAATTATATCTTTGATGTCATCTCCTAACTCATGTGGTCTTTGACCATGAGTGTTAAAAGCCTCTTATCCCTAAAATGGGAGTCAGACCACAAATAAGTAGAGGCTGCTGTGTGGACTTAAACAAAAAGATTAATGTGCGTGAACTGCATGGAAAATAATAAATGGTCAATATCTTTTTTAAAAAATTAAACAATCGGGAAGAGGAGCTGCCTTTGGATGGCGGTGTTGGCGGACACCAACAGGTATCCCGTGAACTGCCAAGCTCAGACTCACGGCTGCCGCGTCAGAACCAGCTCCGAGCCCGCTGCCCGGTGGGTTTCCCAAGCTGTAAGGAAGGAGGGGACTGTCCATCTCTCTCCTGCAGAGTCACTCGCGGATTTGGATGGACAGAGGCTCTGCCTCTGCGTCAGCAGCACAAGCCGTGGTGGACCACAGTCCAGAGCTCCCCAGGGGCTGCCAAGGGGACACAAGTCTGTCTGTGTCGTAGGGACTCGAGTGTTCCTCGGAAGGGCAGCTCGGTGTTCCGTGCGTTGGATGTGCTCTCACCGGATGACCAAGGTGGACGACACAAAGGAGGGCAGATGACTCTTCCGGGGCCCAGCCTGGTGAGACTTTACTGTCTTCAGCCGATGGCTTCTAGAATTGCATGAACGGTGTCCCTATTCCAGCCATCCAGAAGGCAAGTGAGACATGCACATGTGTTCGTGGTGAGGTCTGGACATGGTACATTTTCATTCTGTTCACATTTCCTTGTCTAGAAACGGTCAGGTGGCCATGCTGAGCTGCAGGTGAGGCCGGGCAGGACAGAGGTGGTGGAACATCTGGGAGCTTTCAGGCAGCCAGGAGGCAGCTAGTGGTCTTTTCTTGCCTAAAGCAATGGAGAACCAAGGGAAAAAATGAAGATTCAAGGAAGTGGCTATTCCAGAGAACTGAGGGAGCTCTGGTAGCTTAGGGGTAACGAGTTGCTCTGCCAATGTAAAGGTATATGGTTCAAATCCAGCAACTGTTCCACAGGAGACAGATGGGCAGTCTCCTCTCGTGTGACTTAGAGCTTCTGAAAACCTGCTGGAGGATCAGCTGTGAGTTGGCTCCCTGGGACTAGTGCACTGAGACAACCTTCTAACTTGACTCTGAAGACACTCCCAGAGGCCACCTTCCTGACAGACAGTAGCTGGGGCTGTAAAACAACGACGAAAGTGCATCTTAGGACAAGCACCTACACAAGGTGAAGGGCAGTGTTTGCCCGGAAACAAGGACAGGAAGACAAAGAGGGACAGAAAACAGACGAATGGAAACAGGCCAGCTAGGGAGGAGACAGGGAGAGTGCCGGCTGACACGTCAATGCCAGCATCAGGGAATAATCAATGCATAAACTGTTGATGCGACAATTGATGTATCGTGTAAACATTTACCTAGAGTGCTAGGAAATGGCCTCAAAACTTTTCAAACTTTGTAAATGGACAAATGGTCTGAACAAATACTCCTCCAAAGAAGACGCACATGGTCAGCAAGCTCGTGAAAAGATGCTGCCGGCTGAGGTGGATTCCAGTTCACAGGGACCCTGGTGGTCAGAGCGGAACTGCTCGGAGGGTTTCCCAGGAGGAAATCTTCACGGAGCCGACTGGCAGGTCCTTCTGTGAAGTGGTTTGTGGCTTCAAATGGCTGACCTTTCGGTTAGCAGCCAAGCTCCCTGTCATTCGTCATTCAAATGCAGTAGCATCGAGTCAGCTCCACCTCGAAGAGACTGTGGAGTCCCCGGCAGTTCAGTTACAGGCTGATGTAAATCAAACCATGCCCGCTGGAAAAAAAAAATCATTTCTGGGGGGTGGACCCCGGCTGACCCTCCCTTGCACTTCCGGGGCTGTAAATTATGTGAGAGGAGATTGCCCGTCAATTTTCAGCAGAGCTGCTGGTGGGCTGAAACCACCAGAGAGGTGTGCGCCTTGGGTTGGCCACCTGAGAGGTGTGTGCCTTGGGTTGGTCACCGGAGGGGTGTGCGCCTTGGGTTGGCCACCTGGGAGGTATTCACCTTGGGTTGGCCACCTGAGAGAGAGGTGTGCGCCTTGGGTTGGCCACCTGAGAGGTGTGCGCCTTGGGTTGGTCACCTGGGAGGTATGCACCTTGGGTTGGCCACCTGAGAGGTATGCACCTTGGGTTGGCCATCTGAGAGGTGTGTGCCTTGGGTTGGTCACCGGAGGGGTGTGCTTCTTGGGTTGGCCACCGGAGGGATGTGCGCCTTGGGTTGGTCACCGGAGGGGTGTGCGCCTTGGGTTGGCCACCTGGGAGGTATGCACCTTGGGTTGTCCACCTGAGAGAGGTGTTCGCCTTGGGTTGGCCACCGG